TTGGGGTCAGCTTATCAGGTGATTATCTTCAAAGCAGGACAGTGTGCTTGCAGAAACATCTGCTTAATCCCTATTTTAAGAATAACTATTGACTGGCCTTTTACTATCACTATGTGCAATTTTAAAGATTTAACTGATGGGACCCAGTGCTGGTGGTTTTAGCACAATCCTAGCAGGGAGGTGGGGAAGAATGATAGGCACCTCAAAGGATGGAGTCAGGGCTTAGCACTCAGCTCTTGGCTAGTAGAGAGAAGCCCACGGCAGGTTCCAGGCCCATTATCTTCCACTAACTTCCATTCACGAGCTCAATGACGCACTGCATCGGTCTGGCCTCAGCCTGGCGTACATGGAGGGAGGCTCTGGACTTCAAGGTGCATTTGGCAGAGCCCTCATGTTGCATGGAGTTGCTTGAAGAGTCTCTGAGGGAAGAGGGCAGCTGAGCAAGGGGGATGCCTGTGGCCCCTTGGTTTTGCTTCAGTACAGTGGCTTTCATGGACTGCTTTGTTCAAAAGATGGCACGTGTGGCTTAACAAAAGTTTGAGGACCAGTGACCCCTAGGGTCCCTTCTATTTCTAAAATTTGGAATGTTTGATTCCTTTTAAATAATCACACAAAGGGTCCTTGAAGCCCTGTTTCCAGTCATTCATCTTTGTGGCTCAATCATGGATGCATTTTGGTAAGAGTGATTGAGAATTCTGTACCCCACTCCATCCTCAGCAGTCTTAAGATGGGCAGAGGGAAGATAGAACAACATCCACCCAATACTCCTGCACCTGGGGCCCAGATTTAGCCAGGCCTCTCTGAGGATGTGGTCCCATCCCCGGGGCTGAGAATCACTTCACAAGGAACCATTGCCTTTGAAGGGAGTGGGGATGCCTCCGGGAACACTGTGATTTTCTTTCCCATCATGTGGCCCAGCTGTCAGTCAAGATGGTGGTCATGTGACCCGTGCTGGCCAATCACAGCTCTCCTGAGGGAGGGCTGCAGGAATGAACTGATTCAGAGCTGGGTCACTCTGAGGACAGGTCCTTGACTCCTGCTACTTAGATTCCTGAGACTGCCCTGGTTTCCGTCTTTCCTGAGGTCTGGTTGTTTTTTTGTATTTTACAAATTACCCAGGTCTTTCTGAATCCTCCACCGTTTTCTGTTGCTGGAAAGATTCAGGCTTCCCTTTCCACCATTTCTCTTACAAAAGGCTTCACAGGCTTGTGAAATACTTCTGGGTATTTCAGAAGACCAGGCACCAGGATCTCCAAGGGGCCTGCCCACTTCTTCTGGGGTAGGAATGCCTCGATTTGCAAGAGTGCATCAGTCTGGGTCTGATCGCCCCGGGCTGGGTAGCGCACGCCTTCTGGAAGAAGAAACGCTACAGTTGAGTTTTCATTAGACCCTCCCTCACTGTCGTCCCTGGGTTGCAGGATGTGAGGACCCATCATTAAGGGCCCAGAATGGTAACCCCCTGAAGGCAGAGCTCTTTAAAGGTCAATGGCTAATTAATTAAACACATGAATGAGCTCAGAAGCTAAGTCCCATAGTGAGATTTCATATTCTTGTAGTTTGGACAGTTCAGTGTCCTGGATCTGGAAAAATGTTACCCTTTTTGTAATTTGGTTCATTCTTCTATTTCTGATTTAAAACAAAAAACCCAAAAAACTTCAGACCATGTGTAGATTTATTGAAGGGAGCGGTTTTCCCAGAAGCTCTAGCTTCTCCCAGTGGACAGCGGTGCTGGTGGCAGCAGGGGCCCAGTGCTAGGGCCAGGAATCAGGAGAAGCCTTGGAGAGAGTAGACAGGAGAGTCCAGGGACCGGGGTGAGGAACGACTTTGGACACTGGTGTCCTTCCCCGTTCTGTTGAGGGCTCCTTACCTGGGGATTCACCCTGGAGCAGAAACCTGGAGGAGCACTGAGGAGGAACAAGATCTTCCATTGCCGAAAATTGCTCCTACAGAGCCGTGCCATGCAGTATGGCAGCCACCAGCCGCACGTGGCTGTGGAGCACCTGCAATGTGGGGAGTTCGAATTGGGATGTGTTGTGAGTGTAAAATACACAACAGTTTCAAAAACCTCATCTAAAAACAAGAATGGAAGATATCTCACCACTAACTTATTGATTACATGATGACATGATAATATTTTGGGTATACTGGGTAAAATAAAATGTATTATTAATTTCACCTGTTTCTTTTTATTTTATTTAATGTGGCTACTTCTAGAAAGTTTAAAATTGGCCAGGCACGGTGGCTCATGCCTGTAATCTCAGCACTTTGGGAGGCCGAGGTGGTTGGATCACCTGAGGTCAGGAGTTCAAGACCAGCCTGGCCAACATGGTGAGACATGATTTCTGCTAAAAATACAAAAATTAGCTGGGCGTGGTGGTGCACGCCTGTAGTCCCAGCTACTTGGAAGGCTGAGGCAGGAGGAGACACAAAAGGAAATGTTTTGTTTGTTTGTTTTGTTAGTTCATGTCTTTTATCAACTCATACAGTTCCTTGTCTTCTGCTTTGTTGAAGCAGTAAGTCAGACGACATTTGCCACAATAATGTCTGTCAAAGTGGCTTGCCATAAACGCTCCAGCACCACATTCCTCAGAAGGGTACTCTTGATGAAGGTGACTAATTTTGCCATTCTCATCCACCTTAATATTTATAATATTATAATAATTAATAATAATATTTCAGGACAGCCAGCTTAGTCTTCTTTCTCTTGTGCTTATTCTTCTTGGGGTGGTGTTAAGACTTCTTCCTTTTCTTAGCACCACCACGAAGTGTCAACACAAGATGAAGAGTAGACTCCTTTTGAATGTGTAGTCAGACAAAGTACATCCATCCTCCAGTTGCTTTTGCTAGCAAAAGGAGTCTTTGCCCATCAGGAGGAATTCCTTCCTTATCCTGGATCTTGGCCTCTACATTTTCTGTTGTATCTAAGGGTTCAACCTCGAGGTCAGTGATGGTCTTCCCTGTAAGGGTTTTCTTGAAAATCTGCATTTTGGTGGCGGCTTCACTACAGATGGCTGATCGAAAAGGAAGGAAATGTTTTAAGATATATTCCTAAGGGTTGCACATTAACTAATTTGATCTTATACAATGCTCAAGTTCTGCAAGAGAAAATCTTCAGTTCTCTTGGATAGATAAAAGAGCTTCAGAAGTTTGAGTTGGATGAGGGTTGACCACTCCCCTACCATCTTGCTAATGCTTCAGACCAAATTCACACAGAGAGAGATTTATTAAATATTAACATTTATTGTGATGCAGGGCCCCAGGGTCCATACAACCTTCTGTGTAGGCTCCATGAAGTCTCGGCTCTGGTGTCTTAAGGTGCTAAGAGAACACTTTGCATGGAAAGCTCATTCAAGGCAGAGGCTACAATAGAGTCAGAATTTCAGGATCCTTCTTGTCAGCATCAGACAATCAGAAATCTTGCTACACCAGTGGTCTTTCACAAGAGCAACTGAGGAACCAAGTGCCTTTTATGTTTATTTATTTATTTATCTATTTCAAGATGGAGTTTTACTCTTGTTGCCCAGACTGGAGTGCAATGCTGTGATCTTGGCCCATTGCAACCTCTGCCTCCCAGGTTCAAGCGATTCTCCTGCCCCAGCCTCCTGAGTAGCTGGGATTACAGGCATGTGCCACCACGCCTGGCTAATTTTGTATTTTTAGTAGAGATAGAGTTTCTCCATGTTGGTCAGGCTGGTCTCGAACTCCTGACCTCCGGTGATCCACCTGCCTCAGCCTCCCAAAGTGCTGGGATTATAGGCGTAAACCACTGCGCCTGGCCCCAAGTGCCTTTCTTAAGAGAACAGTCTCAAGGCCTTGCCAGAACTGAAACCCTAGTAGCACAAGGGTGGGGAGTGTCTCTACATCTCATGGCCAGTCCACATATCGTGACTGTCATAACTCTGTTCATGCGAGCGTGGACAGTGTCTCTTACATATTTTAGCCAAACCACATGTCCCCCTTGATTAATGAGAGCCCATTGCTAATATTCATTATTTTATTAGCAAGTCACTAATAAGTCAATAAAAATCCACTTCCCAAGGCCTCAGGTGTTGGCAGGTGTACATGGCAGAGGTATCTTGGGAGAGTGGGGAATCCTGACGAATCCAAGTAATGCTCACCTGTAATATCACACTGAAGATGCCGAAGTATATAAGTCACTTCTGGACATCGTAGCACAATCTTATTAAGAGCATTAATAATTCTTTCATACCTATTTGGTATATTCAAACTAGATCAATGATGTAAGAGCCAGTGAATTATCAGAACGTTTCCTGAGAAAATTCAACCTTTTGTGATGAGTGTAGTTTCCAACCTTAGAGGAACAAATGCTATTCACAAAACAGTCATTCTAAAAAATGCGTTTTTGTATTAAAGATGCATCTTCTCAGGGTAAATGTTAACAGTCCTTGGGAGAAAACTACTAGAATACAGATTTCAGGATTTAAGGGAAAACTCTTTCTTTCAGTCTTAGAAACCCAACTCACTGATGATGACATATAGAACAAATACAGAGGTTACTTAAATATTAACTTTATTTGGTATGTAAATATACCTAGCGCTCCGATCTTTCTAGATCAAGGTTACTTAACCCTGGCCGTATTGACCCTTTAGGCAGGGGAATTCCTTGTGTGCAGGGTTGTGGGGGGATGCTGTCCTGTGTATTGTAGGGTATTTAGCAGCATCCCTGGCCTCTACCCACTAGTTGCCAATAGAAGGACCCTACCACTAAAGTGGTGACAACTAAAAATGTCTCTAGACACTGCCAAATGTCCCCCTGGGGACAAAATCACCCTCTGTCGAGAACTGCTGTTCTAAAACAGGTCCAGTGGGCTAAGCCATTGCCTTGCTACAATGCGTAATCTCAGATCCCTCCCAGACCTACTGAATCAGAGTCTGCATTTCAGTAAGCTCCCAGGTGGTCTGTGTGCTCATATACCCGGCTAGCTTTACCCCTATGCTCCATGGTGCCTGTGGCTAGGGATATGTGGTTCTCATTGCAGGAAGCTGATGAAGCCTTGCTGCATAACCTGCGCCTTCAGCTGGAAGCCCAATTTTTGCAAGACGATATCAGTGCGGCGAAGGACAGGCACAAGAAGGTAACCATGACCCCTTGAAGCCCTTCCTCTAGAAAACCCAGTTTGGGTTTGATCAGGTAAGCCCAGGGCACTGTGGCTGAAAACAGACTGCTAGAGAGTGGTATACCTTTGTGCATTTCCCCTCCAACCAAATAGGGGTGAATTGGTCACTGGACAGTGCTTAATGAGCCAGACCTGCTTTGAAGAGTGGGCAGTAGTGGGTGTGGTTTGAGGGCCGTGGTGTTGTGAACCAGTATCTATATTGTACAGTATAATTTACAAAGTGATTTTATATAGATCCGTCTTCATTAAGCGACAGTCCATCAACTGTTTCTGCTCAGAAGATACATTAAAAAGTCTTGTTTCGGCTGTCCGCGGTGGCTCACGCCTATAATCCCAGCACTTTGGGAGGCCGAGGCGGGCGGATCACAAGGTCAGGAGATCGAGACCATCCTGGCTAACACGGTGAAACCCTGTCTCTACTAAAAATACAAAAAATTAGCTGAGCGCAGTGGCGGGCGCCTGCAGTCCCAGCTACTCAGGAGGCTGAGGCAGGAGAATGACGTGAACCTGGGAGGCGGAGCTTGCAGTGAGCCGAGATCACACCACTGCACTCCAGCCTGGCAGACAGAGTGAGACTCCGTCTCAAAAAAAAAAAAAAAAAAAAAGGCTTGTTTTTCTCTGAACCTGTTAATTGCAGGAGCACATTATTCAGGAGCTTCCTCTCCTGCAGTGCTCAGATTCCCCCGGCCTCCAACAGTTCCTCACAGGCCTGACTGTGGCGGGCCCTGGCATAACTGAAAGATCAGATCTTGCAGCTGTTTGACCATGGGTGAGTGGCCTAACCTCTCTGAGCTGCTTTTTCATCTTCAAAATGCAAATGCAGGCTCTTCTTCCCAGCAGTGGTGTGGGTGAAGTAGTGTAGCAGACCTGTGGGTGCCTCAGGGCTTCCCTCTTCAGGGACTCTGGCCTCCTCCCACTGCCATCCCTGCAGCTTTGCCTGAGGACTTTCTCCAAGCAGCTGGAGGCTGCTCTACCTGTAGTGGGGTGTTGAGGAACTCCTGTCCCCAGGAACAGGGAGCAGCCTCAACCGGAACTGATGGGAGTTGGTGTATAAACATCCCAGCTCCCTCTCGCTTTTGTAGACCAACTCTGAGGCTTTTGTGCTGCACTGGCACCCAGAGATCCTCACCAGGATTGAGCTCCAGGTGCTCACAGTGGTGACTCATTGGTAATAGCCCTCGCTGACCACCCTCCCTTCCTGCCTCACTTTCCCACTCCATCCATCATGTTTCCTGGCATCATTGCCCAGTCAACTGTTTATACTCAGATCCCTCTCCCAGAGTCTGCTTCTGTGGAAACCCAAACTAAGACAATGTGGGAACATGGGTACAACCTGGAGCTTGGCAAGTGCTCAGTGAACCTCTGGTTCCCTTCCTACCTCAGTGTGTACCTGCATCAGTACACCAGCCCTGTCTGCTCCAATCAGGGTCCCTCCAACTTTCCATTAGGCCCAGCCATTTCCTCCTCCCCACCCACCTCCTTGCTTCTGCTCTACTTGATGGAATCCTGCGAACAGTGCTTGGGGCAGTTTTGAAGCAGTTCAAAGAATTCTTCCAGGCCATTTAGGATGATATTGATGATGATGATGGTGATGATGATAGCTCACACTGTGAAGCTCCCCCCCTGCAGTATCTCACCGGATTCCAAGAGCAGCCTTGTGAACTAGTGCTCAGGTCAGGCTCCCTATAAGCAGAGCTCTAGGTAGTGATTTTTTGTCACTGATGTCTTAGTGGAGGGCTCTGAGGAGAAGGGGAGGAAAGCGGCAAGACAGGGCAGGGAGCACAGCAAGGACGTGTCCTCAACTGGAGTCCAGCTGTGGCGTTCTCATGATCCCATGGGAAGCTCTGTGAATTACACCACAGCCGGGTCCCTCAAGGAGTCGAGAGAGTTGGTCTTTTGTACTCCCGTGCCATCAGTCATTGGCCTGGGTTGGGGATGAGGCAGGGCCTGGTGGCTTCCTAGACAAGATGACCATTGGTTGACCAAGGGCTGCTTTCTGCAGAGGGCTGTGTCATCTGTTGTTACTCACAGAGCTTGGGATAGGGGCGCTGGCCGGTAAAGGGGATCAGGCATCCCTACATATAGTTATCCCTGTTTTATAGAAGAACTTGCATTTTAGGAGGTTTAAATAGCTTGCCTGAGGTCACACATAGCCAGTAAGTCTTTTAGTCCAGGCCTGATTGAACAAAGCCTATTCTTTGAAACACTGCTGGTGTTGGAAAGGGTCCTTTGTGCCCTCCAGGGCCTTTTAATTTGTTTATTTTTGACACGGGGTCTCATTCTATCACTCAGGCTGGAGTACAGTGGGGTGATCACAGCTTGCTGCAGCCTCCACCCACCCCCAGGTTTAAGTGATCCTCCTACCTCAGCCTCCTAAGTAGCTGGGACCACAGGTGCACACCACAACACATAGCTAATTTTAAAATTTTTTGTAGAAATGAGGTCCTACTATGTTGCCCAGGCTGGTCTCCAACTCCTGGGCTCAAGCAATCCGCCCGCCTTGGCCTCCCAAAGTGCTGGGATTACAGGTGTGAGCCACCATGTCTGGTGAGGGCTGTTTTTTTCCTCTGTTTTTTGTGCCTCTGCCACCCAGGGCTTTGTGGAGATCAATGCACCAATGTAGCTGAAGAGAAATGGTAACATAAAGCAAGACTTAGTTTATTCATCTACCCATTGTTCTTGTGAAGATTAAAGGAGACTGAGGGGCCAGGAATGAGCATGGTGCACATGTGGGCAGGCCCACCGACGGCAGCAAATGCATCAGTCTCTTCTTCCTCCTGAACCTGGTCATGGTCTGTCCCGTGTGTGATGATGCAGCATGTGGAAGTGTCCCTTCCTGTGCTCATCTAGTACTGGAAGGAAAAACCAGCACAGCTCAACTTATAACGAGAATGCTTTCCCTCCCCTAACAGAATCTTCTGGAAGTTCAGACCTATATCAGCATCCTGCAGCAGATCATCCACACCACTCCTCCGGCATCCATTGTGACGAGTGGAATGAGGGAGGTAAGACTTGGAGCAGGAAAAGGCAAACCAGCCCTGGCGGGAAGCTGTATCTGCAGACTCCCAGGCAAGGGCTCACAGGTTGGACTGTGAGGGCGGCCACCAGGGTCCACTCCCCACTCCTGCTTTGTATCCTCATCTGAAGTTTGTTCTGCTGATATTTTTCTTGTACTGTAAATGCCAATATTTAGACACATGAGGATGTAAACTGCGTCCTTGACCATTTTCTTCGGTATTTTCTCTTGAGAATTACGAGCTGTTCTTCCTTGCATACTTTATAAGAAATGACCAAGCTGCTTTCCAAAGCGATGTGCCATTGTTGCATCTCCACCCACAATGCATCAGGGTTTCTGTGGCTCCCTGTCCTTGTCAGCACTTGGTATGTCAGCTTTTTAGTGTGTCTTTGCTCTTCTAATGGTGGTGGTTTTAATTAGCATCCCCTAATGACTAAGGAAGCTGAGCATCCTTTTGTGCACTCATCTGCCATCCGGATAGCTTCTTTGTGGAAGTATCTGCTGAAGCCTCTTGCCCATTTAAAAGATTGGTTTGTTTCCTTATTCTCCCTATCAATCTGTTAATGAATTTAAAATACAGAGAAGCTCAGATAATTAGTGAGTATATTTTCAAGACAGAGCTCTGCTAATGATTATGTGAGCCTGTGGCATGGAAACTAGTGGGAAAGGATAGAGATTGTTGAAGCCGATTTGTAAAAACTAAAGATTTGGATATGAAAAGTTATTTCCGATATTATGTTCCAAATTCCGTCTTCATTTAGTGCTCTAGCTGCTCAACAGGATAGTAGTTTTTTTCCTAATATGGTTTATGGAATTTTGTGATGCATAGCATGATATATATATAAATAGACTGGTGCCGAGTGAGGTGGCTCGTGTCTGTAATCCCAACTACGCAGGAGGCTGAGGTGGGAGGATCACTTGAGGCTAGGAGTTCAAGAGCAGCCTGGACAACATAGCAAGACCCCATCTCTAAACAAACAAACAAACAAGAAACAAAAAAACCCCAAAACACTGGAAATGATGCAAATTAAAATAAAAATGTTACAGCGTCCCTTCTCCAGAGGTTGTGGTAGGCTAGTACAGGGTTTGGTGGATTGAGCAAGAGATAAGGTTCTGGGTCTTTTTGCAAGGATGATCTAGGATGGTGGCTCTCAACCCTGGTGACACTTGCAATTGCCTAGATGTGTGCTCAGGCCATGCTCCGAGTCAATGAATGGGCTGCTCAGGAGGTGGGGCTTGTCCAGGAGCAGCATGCAGACAAGCTGCTGCAGAACCCATGGGCTGGGGTCACCAGCTACCTGAACTTTTTCATCTTAATTATTTTATACAAAGCTAAAGAAATACCCAAATTTGCTTTAGAAGACACTTTTGAACCCTGCAAAGTATCATCTAAGAGACAGGAAAGTTACCTTTTTTGGCATTCATGAGGATAGTCTTGTCCGAATTGCCCACCAACTACCATTTCAGGATCCTGTTGTCCTTAGTAGATGTAACCGAGGTTGCTACTAAGGCCTAAAAAAGCTTTTCCAGAAGTCTTAATTTTCTTTGCCAGAGATCCCTTTCCAGAGATGTTATTTTTATTTTTTCAAACCCACTTTTGTCCTCTAACTCAAAGGTGTTTTACATCCGAGCATACCTTTTGAATTGTATCGTCTATTCCCTTGTAATAAGACCCTTCTAAGTCGTAAGTACACAGACACTGGACTGACTTTGATGTTATCGATCAGCATCACCTGGGCTTGTGAGATGTGCAGAGTGTCCAGCCCAGCCTCAGACCCACTGAGACAGAATCTGCATCTTAGCCAGATCCTCAGGGACTCGTGGGCATGCTCAGGATGGAGAAGTACCAATTGAGAAAGCATCACATCTTTATGAGTCTTAGTTTAGCAATTCTATAGTCAAATTAGACAGTCACTTTCCTGTATGTCTGTGTCACTGCTGCAGCCACTTTGTAAGGTATTTGAAGCAGAGGCTGCCTTCCATGCATGGGCTTGGACACAGAAACCCTCAGTGTAGCCTTGGTGTTTGATTTTGCGTGGCTTCGAGTCAATGTGCTCTGTGTCAGAGTGCATGGCTCTTGAGCAGTCAGGCCTTTGTGAAACAATTTGAATATTTTTGAATAAATGTGGAAAGGCAGCTCAGGAGAGAGGCACCTGCTTGGCAGAGTGTGGAGAGGTTGGAGGATTTCCTTCCAGCCGTTCCCTGGAGCGTCACTTCTCTTTCACCCATTGGGGCTGATGGCTCCTGCTTTGGGCTGCGCTGACATCCGAGCACAGCGTGTGGCTCGTGGCTCCAAACAACCTTCATTTTCTTAGAGTGTGCATTCCAGGTTTTCCTTTTCACAGAAGGGAAAACAGAGGCTTTGAGAGTCAAATGCCTTTTCTAGGGTCTCTTAGTAGGTTCACGGCACAGCCAGGTCTAAGCTCTGGTCTCCTGGTACTTGGTCCCGGCGTTTCACACTCCGAAGGAGGTTCAGACTTTGAAGACAAAGCAAAAGCCATTGATGGCTGCGCTGTGGGCCTGGCTTAGTCTCCTCACGCTACTGTAACAGGACACTATAGACAGGAGGGCTGACAGGCAGACATTTATTTCTCACTGTCCTGGGTGCTGGAAATCCAAGATCAAGGTGCCAGCAGAATTGGTGTCTGGAGAGGGCTCTCTTTCTGGCTTGAAGATGGCTGCCTTCTTGCTTTGTCTCATGTGACAGACAGACAGGGGGCGGGAGTGGGGGCTCTGGTGTCTCTTCTTGTTCTTACAAAGACCCTAATCACATCGTGGGGCCCCCCATCCTCATGACCTCATCTAACCTTAACACCTTCCAAAGGTCCCACCTCCTGAAACCTTCATCTTGGGAGTTAGGACTTCAACACAGAATTCAGGGGGACACGGATATTCCATCCATACGAGGGCCCCACACCTCCTCTGCCCTTTTCCTCTCTGCATGTCCTGTGAATCTGACTCTGGCCTTCTCTGTACAGGAGAAGCTCCTGACGGAGCGGGAGGTGGCCGCCCTGCGGAGTCAGCTGGAGGAGGGCCGGGAGGTGCTCGCCCACCTGCAGGCACAGAGAGTGGAGCTGCAGGCCCAGGTACGCTTGAGTCTACCGCATGCGCATTGGGGCTTCCCACGTGTTTTATGGCGGCGTTACATGCAGCACACGCATGCAGCTTGAGGAGCTGTCACATGCTGAACATATCCTATGTTCCTGGCAGAAACGGGGTTTTCGGAGTGGGTGACCAAGCGCTCTGCTCTTCCCTGGACTGAGGAGTTTTCCAGGACGAGGGAGAGTCCTGAGCCAGTGAACACAGGCGTCACGCTCATTCCTGGCCCCTCAGAGGTGCCCCTTGGGACTCCTTTAAGTCATGCCCTCCCCTCTGAGGCTTAGGCTTAGGCTGCCCCAGTGTCTACATCATGCATTCATTTTGCCCAGGTCAAACTTTGTAAGAATAAGAAGAAACGGACACAGTAGGGATTTTTCTCCTCCACTTGTTCAAATCTGTGCTTCTATTTTTCTTCTCATGGTAACAGTTCTCCTTAGGAATTTGATTACAAAATGGAAAGAGTGGTTGTATCAGTGTTTGCTTCTAGTTAGAAAGGTGTTGGTGGAAAGCTCACATTTTTACCCCCACCCCTTTTGGGTGAAGCTTAATTTGAAAACAAAACAGAAAAGCCCCACGCTGTCCTGTGGCCTGTGCCTTCTTGGCTACTTCCTGGCTCATCTTCCTTGGTTCCTTCCAGTTCTCTCTCTTTCTCGTTACCCTCCAGCAGGGCATTCCGTGGGGACGGCTGGGTTAAAATACTGCACCTTTGTATGGCTCCCTAACCACGTTTCCCAAACCAAAAAGAAAGTTGACATTTGGTTTAACAAGTACACGTGGGGACAAGAGAGCAAAACGTGTAAACATCGGATGCTTCAGAAAGCCCGGACCATTTGGACATTATGTGTTACTCTGTCTCTGCCCTGCCAGGGCCCACAAAATGGGAAAAAATGTGAAGCCACAACTAGACGTTGTGCTTTTTATTGATTTCCAGTGCCCCCATGTCTGCTCAGGATTTCATTTTGGGACCTTGGAGTTCACATCCTAATTCCCATCCCAGCACGCACCACACAAAACTCACAGTGCAGCAGCTCTTAGGGGCTACTGGAAAGCAAACCCGGGTCTGTGGTGGTCCCCTGAGCTGACGATCGCAGCAGGAGAAACCAAGTAAGGCCCTTAAAACTATACCTTCTTGCTTGAGAAACCCTGGCTCAGGGACCATGTGCGTCATCCTGGTGACTGGGGCGTGTGTGGTTTCTTCTGAGGCTCTGACAGGATAGAATAAGGGTTGTATGTGTTTGTGTATGTGGGGTGTGTGTGTAATATGTGTGGTATGTGTGATATATGTGGGATGCATATGTGAAGTGTGTGGTGTGTGTGTCGTGTGTGTGTGTGTGTGTGTGCTGTGTATGTGAATAGGGATATGGATACAAGCCCAGTCATGGTCCTAGAGACCAGTGTTTTCCAAACGACTAGTGACAACTCATTTTTGGATGTAAAACGAATTCAGTAGAATTGATTGGCATGTAAAAGGAAGTCAACAAAATGCTAGACTAAAATATAATAAGAAAAACAGAGTGTACAGCAAGCCAAAGGGAGGATTTGTTTTGTGAAGCCCTCGTTTTATCTCTACATCCATATGGATATGTTGAAATACACACACACACATCTATCTGATGTGTATGGCTTGCAATGAGAAATGTGGTTTTTCCTGGGGCGGTGGTGTTAAAGTTGAAAACCACTGCCCTAGAGATACTGAGAAAGATGAAGGACCCCAGCCTAGATGGCACAGGGCGTGGTGGTGCATGCTTGTGGTTCCAGCTACTGAGGAGGCTGAGGTGGGAGAATTGCCTGAGCCTGGGGAGGCTGACGCTGCAGTGAGCTGAGATTGAGCCACTGCACTCCAGCCTGGGTAACAGAGTGAGACTCCGTCTCAAAAAAAAAAAAAAAAAAAAAGAAAAGAAACTAACTATATTAAAACAGTTATCAAAATATTACTGAATCGTTTTATATAAAATGACAGATGTGCTTATGCTCAGTAACAAGCTGTAGCATAGGGCTGATGAAACAGGACTGTGTCCGTTTTCTGTTGCTGTCTTGATGAGTCACCACTAACAGGAGCTTGGAACAGCACCTGTGTCATCGCAGTTGTGTAGGTGGGAAGTCTGGGCGGGTCCTATCGGTTTCTCTGCTCTGGGTCTCAAAAGGTAGAAAGAAGGATGTTGGCCAGCCTGGGCCCTTGTCCGGAGGCTCTTGGGGGAGAATTTGCTTCCAGTCTCATTCAAGTTCTTGGCAGGAGTGAGGACCCTCCTTCTTTTCTGGCTGCTGGCCAGGAGCGGGTGTCAGGGCTGCCCATGCTCCTTGGCTTCAGGTCCCTCCATGTTCAAAGCCGGCAGCGAACTCTGAACCCTCTTCCTGCGTCTCATCTAATTGAGTTGGACTTATGCGTTTCTCTGACTTCTGTTTTTAGGGCTCCTGTGATTGGGGATAATTTTGAATAAACTCCTTTCCTTAAAAAAGGGTAACTGATTAAGAACCTTAATTCTATCTGCAAAGTCCCTTTTTGCCATGTAACGTATTCAAGGGTGTAGCACCAAGGAGAAATGGTCATGGGGGCCAAAATTCTGCCTCCTTAGCTCTGATGAAAACCCAGACGTGGCTGAGGCGCCCAGGAGCTCCTGACTCAGTGGGTCTGGGGAGTTGCCCGGGACGCTGCATGTTCAGGTGTTCTGGGGATGGTGCTGCTGCCGGTCCAGGAGCCACACTGAGAACCACAGGGTAGGGGCGGGTCCCAGGGAGGGGGCGAATGTTCCACCCGGTCCCCCTGTGTCCCAGGCTTGGGCCTCATTTCCAATGTTTGTGGCTGGGTTTTTGCTGGTTTTAAAGGTTTTAGTGGCTTCCTAATGTAGCACCTAAGCTAGAGCTGAAGGAAGATGTTGACCGCACACCTCTGGGCAGGGCCCGCACTGTGGCCGGAACTCGGTGGAGGGCGGGCCGAGGGAGAGCGTCTGGTAGCCCCACGGCCTGGCAGCGGGTTCCGCCTATGGTTAGGGCGTTCGAAGCTTCCCGAACTCTCCACTGCAGGGGTCCTCAGGGTGAGGTCCCTGTCCTAGCAGCGGCGGCACCACCTGGGAACTTGTCAGACATGCAAATTCACAGGCATCCCAGACCATTGACCCAGGAGCTCTGGGGCGGGCCGGTGCGCCTTGTTTTCACAAGCCCTCCGCTTGGCTCTGCGGGCTGGGTCTGGGAGAGGCTGGGCGGAGGATGGGAGAACGGTGCCTGGGCTTGGAGCTGGAAGCCTCTCCTTCAAATAAGTGCACATATACCCCTAAGAGCCCTGGAGGAAGCACTTCGGACAGGTGGAGAGGAAAGGACAGGTAATTCTAGTTCCGTAAATTGCATGGACTGAGAATTTCTGTGACAGGGAAGTAAAGAAAGTCACTTTTTAAAATTGCAAAGTGGGAGCCGCCCATGTCTCATTTCTCATTAAAGTCACTTAACACCATCTAGTGGTTTAGTTTGTGTAAGACAGTGTGTAACGCGTTTCCTTTAAAAAAAAAAAAAAAAGACCTTGCACCCAAAGTTGTCTGGGGTCCCAAGGACTGAGGTGGGAGCTCGCCCCTCCAGATGGGGCTCGCGTCAGGCTCCTGCCTGTGTCCTGCCCTCAGCAGCTCACAGCCCAGTGGGGAGACAGATACAAACCAGGCAATCTAACGGTCCAGGCAGAAATAGCAGTCACCTGGCTCCAGATAAAGTTCAAGTTGCCACATGGCTCCACCCTTGGAGGAACCGTGGGTCAACCTCTCATCTCTTCGTCTCCTGACCCCTCCTGCAGTTTCTGGGACCTGCCCCTTTGCTCATTCCTTCTCTCCTTTCTGGAAGTCCCCTTCCTTCCTCGGTTCCCAGGACCGGTCCTGCCTCCTCCTGGAAGCCTCTTTCTCCCTCCGAGATGCCCTGGGCGCCCCTCCCCTGCTGGCCTGCGGCCTTCTAGAGGATGGTCCGTGCCTCACTCTCCTTGACCAGGTTGGTGCTGGGTGGCAGTGGATGCCGTGCCACGGTGGCTGTCGTCACAGGCATCTCCATTCCTGTTGAGCTTCTGAGAGGGGCTCTTACTGGTTTTCCTGAACACCTTTCCTTCTGATGAAAGGTTTGAATTATGGAGCTATAAAAACCATATTGATATAGACAGCAGTCCAGTTTTATAAACCAAGTCATCACTTCACTGGACTCAGCAGAATCCTGTAGAGCATCTGCGACCAGTGCAGGGTTGGAGGGCTCTGGGCCTCATGGTCACGTCGGGGATGGTGGCTGTGGGGGTGCCTAGGGCAGGAGCTCCTCCCACAGTGCTGCAGCAGAGAATCTCCAGCCTTTAAAACATGCGGCCTTCTTCAAACAAACACAAATGCACACTCGAGAAAACATCTCACCCATCCACCCCCTACCACTACCACAAAAATAACAGTCACCACTTCATGAGATATAAAAAGATTACACTCCACTTGTAGGGTAAAAAGATCATAGGTGACTTTTCTGGTCTCTCATTTCCCAGTTTGTGATGCTTTGTGATTCTATTTACAGTTCAAAACTTTGCTAAGTGAAAACCTGCAAGGAGAGGTCTCTGCATGGCTCACACTGACTTTCCCATGTCTTCAGAGAGAACAGGCTGGTGCTGGCCTGTTGCTGTGTGGGAATGGGGAGTTTGCAGAGGCCCTGGAGTGTGTGTGTGTGTGTGTGCATATGTGTGCGTGTGTGTGCATATGTGTGCGTGTGTGTGTGCTTGCACATTGCTTGCCCGCAGCAGGGAGGAGGCTGAGGTGCCGGGTAGGGGTGGCCTGGTTCTGGGAGGTGTTTCAGACGTTGTACAGGTAGATTCGAATCCTGCTGTGGTATTTATGGGCAAGTCACTTTGCCAGTGTGCCTCAGTTTCCTCATCTGTAAAGTGGAAATAATGACAGCCCCTCCCTGATAAGGTGGTTGTGAGGTTGGTGAGTTGGCCCAGCTTAGGACTTACCAGCACCAGCCACTACCCCGGCTCTGGGCTGGGGAACCCACCCCCAAAGGGGACGGTCGCCCCAGAGCTCCTGGGTCAGTGGTCTGGGGTACATTCTCTTCATATGTAATTTTTTCTTTTACTCTTTATTATGGAAGATTTCAAACATCGAAAAGTGACAGATTATAGGCGCTATGGCTCACACCTGTAATCCCAGTACTTTGGGAGGCCAAGGTGGGAGGATCACTTCAGCCCAGAAGTTCAAGACCAGCCTAGGCAACATAGTTAGACCTTGTCTCTACACATTTTTTTTTTTTTTTTTAAATTAGCTGGGCATGGTGGCATTCACCTGTGGTCTCAGCTGCTAAGGAGACAGAGGTGTGGGAATCACTTGAGCCCAGGATATCGAGGCTTCAGTGAGCCCTGATGGCAGCACTGTACTCCAGCCTGGGCAATAGAGTGAGACCCTGTCTCAAAAAATAGAAGTGAGAATAGTCTGTCTCCTGAGCCCTCCTGCCCCATCCCCTAACACATGGCCCCTCTATGTTCTCTGCAGCCCCTCACACTTCCCTCACCATGTAATTCCAATGCTGCTTCAAGTTGTGGGCCTCAAAGGGGTCTTTTAAATCCCCATATTCCTTGGAGGTGTTTCCTAGAGTGTGTAAACACTCTGGTGTGGGTGAGATGTGGCTGCACCAGACGTTAGTGTGTGTGACTTGTATTTGCTATGACATGTGACTGTTTGAATCCAGATTTCTTGGGAGGAACAGAAACCGGATCACACTAGCTGAAACAGGAAGGGGACTCTTGTTTTATTCAGAAGTAATTTTAGATTTTTGAAAAGTGGCAAAAACAGCACAGTAGTTTCCAATATATACCCCTCATCCAGCTTCCTCAAAACCACAGGCCGATGATAAAAACCTGGAAATTAACAATGATCCTGTCCTATTAACAGACTGCACTAAAATCTCACCAGTTGTTCCACTCGTGTTTTTTCCTGGTCTAGAGCCTACTCACATTTAGGTGTCATGTCTTGCTTGTCTCCCCCAGACTGGGATGGTCCCCAGTCTTTCTCTGTCTTTCATAACCGTGATGCTTTCGAAGAACCCAGGCCAGTGACTTTGCGGCACATCCCTCCTTTTGGGTTTCCCTGATGTTTTCTCAGGATTAGATGGAAGGTCTGCATTCTTGGCAAGACCTCCATGGAGTGACACTGTGTCCTGAGTATTTCATCTTGTGGATGGGTCCTCATACAGGTGACATTAACTCTGATCTCTCAGTTAAGGTGCTGTCTGCCAGGTTTCTGCACTGGAAAGGTACTTTTTTTTTTTTTTCCCGAAGGAGCAGGGTATAAAAGGCAGGGCATGAAATCTGAGAGGAGGTGTGCATCAGGAATTAGGAACCAGGAACTGGGAGCTGAGGCTGCTGCTATCTGTCTCCTTTTCCTCCTCTTCCTTCTCTTGCCACGGCGGCCTAATTTCTGTTTGTCTTTGCCTTTTGGCCTCATTTCTCTTCCTCTCCAAATAATTACCTTTCTCAGCTTTGCCATGCATATGAAAGCTCACCATTCCAGAGCGGCAGCCTCAGACCTGTTCATGTGTCCCTGTAGTCTGGAACCTGCCACCAAACTCTGCGATTTCTGAGATCCCTTTCCAGATTCCTGGGAGAGAAGGCGTGTGACAGGCCAGCCTGGGTCAGGCCCACCCCTGGTCCTGTAACTCGGCACAGGAGAGTGGGGTCACTTTGTTTCTACTCTGCCTGGGGATGGGTGGGGCTGACATCAGACGCAGGGATAATGTGGACTGGACAGACATCTCCCAAAGTGCTTAGCACGTGTACCTTTTCTTCCCTTCCTCCTCCCTCCTGATGCAACAGATCTATGGCTGAACACCTGCTTTTTTTTTTTTTAGACAGAGTCTTGTTCTGTTAACCAGTCTGGAGTGCAGTACAGTGGCACGATCTCGGCTCCCTGCAACCTCCACCTCCCGGGTTCAAGCGATTCTCGTACCTCAGCCTCCCGAGTAGCTGGGATTACAGGCACTGGCCACCACGCCTGGCTAATTTTTGTAGTTTTAGTAGAGATGGGATTTCACCATGTTGTCCAGGCTGGTCTTGAACTCCTGACCTCAAGTGATCTGCCCGCCTTGGCCTCCCAAAGTGCTGGGATTACAGGTGTGAGCCGCCACACCCAGCCATCTTGCCAAACACCTTTGAAAGCTACATTTTGACTTAAGGAATTTCATGATCCAAGGGCATAAAGTGTATAAAGTGAAGAATTGGGTTTTGACGGCAATGATCATCTTCCAGGTGTCCAGTAGGTACATTTAGGTCTGGATGTAGGAAATGCCTGTTGTGGACATGCCTGAAGTTGACTATAGATGCATGTCTCACCCCTCGTGACTCAAAGTGTGGCCCGTGGCCCGGCAGCATCAACATCACGTGGGTGCTGGTGAGCAAGGCGGAGTCTCCAGTTCCCCATCCCTGCTGAGCCAGGCTCTTAGCACCCTCAGGTGGCTCCAGTGCACACTGAGTCCAGAAGGGCTGCGCTAGGTAGAAGTGTGGTTTTGTTTGTTTTGTTTTTGAGGACCATGCATGTCAAATTCTTTCCTACTCAAGAATGAGATTGGAAAAGAGTCATGACTACCTCGGTCTCTATTTTATAAACTTTAAACGTTTTTTAAAGCTTCTTGACTCTTGTAATAACACTTAAGCACGAGAGAAAATATTGCAATCAAGAGATGTGGGAAATGTGAGCTGCAGGAGGCTGCGGCTGGGGTAATGTGGCGTCACTGTCTTACCAGAAACACCTCGTTATATGTAGGACTATGCGCCAAAATAATGAGAAAGAGGGTAGTATTGTAAATACATAAACCAGTAACTTAGTTGTTTATTATTATTGTCAAGTATTATGTGTTGTACATAATTGCATGTGCTAGAAGTTTTTTATGCAACTGGCAGCACAGTCTGTTTACGCCGGCGTCCCCACAGACACGTGAGTGAACGTGTGGCTCCATGGCCCTAGGATGGTTGCGGTTGTCACTAGGCGACAGGAATTGTCCAGCTCCATTATACTCTTATGGGACCACCATCTTATATGCAGTCCATTGTTGACTGCAGTACTGTTATGTGGCACACAACTGAGCATTTATGGGTCTTTATGTATTATCACAAGCTCTTACACTGAATATAAAACTATCTCTTTCTATTTTCCTGCCTTAATTTTTATTTGCTCTGATTAATGTATTTCTCTGACATTATTTTATGTGTACACAAATGTGCACACACACACCTTAGGTACCAAAACATAAATGTAACTCTGCCGATCCAAACTCAGCAGAAAATCAAAGCACCGTAGCGACTGAATGAGAACAAGGAAACTTTTCTCCCACTCAGTATTTCAATAAAAGTAGCGTCTTATCTATTCAGTATGCTCTTCTTTTTCCTTATTTTTTGGCTATTGGATTTATACTAATTCATTGAAGTCTGAAGAATGTACTTTATTTGAATTATTATTCCATGGATAGCAGGTTTTTTTGTTTTTTTGTTTTTTTTTTTTTTTTTTCCTTTTAGACAGGGTCTCACTCTGTTGCCCAGACTGGAGTGCAGTGGTGTGGTCTTGGCTCACTGCAGCCTCCACCTCCCAGGTTCAAGTGATTCTCCTGCCTCAGCCTCCCAAGTAGCTGAGATTATGGTGTGTGCCACCACACCTGGCTAATTTTTGTATTTTTGGTAGAGACAGGGTTTCACTATGTTGACCAGGTTGGTCTCAAACTCCTGACCTCAAGTGATCTGCTGGCCTCAGCCTCCCAAAGTTCTAGGATTACAGGTGTGAGCCACCTGGCCTAGGTTTCATTTTATTTTACCTACAGGTGTGAGCCACCTGGCCTAGGTTTTGTTTTATTTTCTAGGTTTGTCTTCAGACTGCCTTTGGGGTGGGCCTCCTTATGGGTTCATTGCAGAGGGTGCTGATATTAGTGCAAGAAGGGCTGGGTGCAGTGGCTCATGCCTGTAATTCCAGCACTTTGGGAGGCTGAGGCGGGAGGAGGAAGCCAGGAGTTTGAAACCAGCCTCGGCAATAAAGCGGGACCCTATCTCTACCAGAACAACAACAAAAAAATTTAGCCCAGTGTGTTGGTGCTTGCTCATAGTCACAGCTACTCAGGAGGCTGAGGTGGAAGGATCACTTTAGCCTGGGAGGTGGAGGATGCAGTGAGCCATGACCGCATCCCTGCATTCCAGCCTGGTGACAAAGTGAGATCCTCTATCAAAAAAAAAAAAAAAAAAAAAAAAAAAAAAAGTGTAAGGACACAGAAGCTCAGTTTTCACTTTGTTTTTTAGCTTAAGGATTCCAAAGTGATTCATTGCTAATCTGTAATGGGCAGAGAAACACACAAACAAAATAAAACATTCACTGAGTCCAGGTTCCTTTTCCTCGTGAGGTCTGTCTCTTAGGGGGAGAGGGGGATACATTTTCTTACAGTGTGTCCTTGCCTGCAGACAACAACTCTGGAACAAGCTATTAAAAGTGCCCATGAGTGTTATGACGATGAGATTCAGCTTTATAATGAGCAGATTGAGACATTGCGCAAGGAGATTGAGGAGACAGAGCGGGTCCTGGAGAAGTCTTCTTACGACTGCCGGCAGCTGGCGGTCGCCCAGCAAACCCTGAAGAATGAGCTGGACCGGTATCATCGTATCATCGAGATTGAAGGCAACAGGTGAGAGTGTGCCCTCCCCATCCGGGCCACTTATTCCTTGCACAACTCTTTGTTGAGTGTCTATTATGTGCCAGGCACAGTTCTAGGAAAGTGGGCATGTGGCAGGGAAGGAAACACAACAATTCCTGACCCCGTGGGTGCTGGAAAACTAATTGGGGAGACAGAGGATGAAGGTACCGCCAGTGCCGAGGAGGAAGTTCTAGCAGGGAGGAGGGCGGTGGCGATAGGGGTGATGGGAGAATGCTTGCAATTTTAAGTAGGGTGGTCAGAAAAGGCCTCGCTGAGAAGCCAGCGTTTTGCTCATAGGCCTCTGGAGACATAAGTGTCCCAGCAGGTGGGATGCCCAGGAGTATTTAATGAGGTGCTGCAGGTGAGCTACCTGGCACAGAGCCTAGCACTCAAGGGCACTCAGAGGTGGTGGTGGTGCTCCTGCTGCCATCCTCACGATTCTTAGTGCCTTGCTGGGTCAGTCCGTGGCTGTCACCATGTGGCTGTCTGGTCTCCTCCATAATGGAGCAGTGACTCGATCCCTACTCACTTTAAGACAGCTGGGAAATTCTCTCTTTCTCTCCAGCTATGTCCGTGTTCATAGCTACAGTGATTTTCCCGGAGAACAGGCTGGGAATTAATTTGTGATTCTTCACTCCAGCCTTGCTAAATTCCTGGGTTTCAATTGAATGAAAAGAGAAGCCCTCCACAACTGAGGTCCCCACCAGGAGCAGCTCCTCCCTTCGCCCTGGGTGCTCTGTCTTGGCTGTGCGCAGACGAATGCCTGGCAGGAGAAGCAGGATTTTATTTTTCTTTCTCCAGTGCTGTTCAGTGTATCTGGCATGATTCCACATGATATTTATGTCACAGTGAACACTTTATGCACACATCTGCAAGAATAAGTCTAGAATTGGCATTTCAATGACTTCGTAAACATTTTTGTTTTGGGACAGGGCTTCACAGAAAGCTGACTGGATACCTGTTTTATTTATCTATAAGTTCTGATTTTGGTCTAATTTTAAACTGATAGAAATGTTGCAAGAATAGAACAAGGAACTCCTGAATACTCCAAATTCACCAGTTGTTTATATTTTTTTCAATTGCTTTTATCATTTTTCTCTATTTATATATGATATGTGTGTGTGTGTGTATATATATATCTTAAGTTGGAGATATCATACCATTTGCCCTGAATACTTCAGCCTGAGTTGGCCACTCTTAATTAAAAAAATCAAAAAGGCAAATCAAAAGGCAAACAAACAAAATGGCAAAAACATCAAAAAGGCACTGTCTCATGGAGAAGTGGCGTTTTTAGGTTATAAGCAATCCCTACTTTATAATTTTTTATAGGTATGTTTCACAGTTTATGACTCTTGAGCTCAAAGAAATGATTATTTCCTTTATGTCCTCATCCAGTGTGTAAATGTGTATATGGCTGTCCGTTTAAAACGGTATCTAATTTGTGAGCAATTTGGTCTAGAGAAAGCTTTTTTTTTTCATTTTTGCTCAACATTAGTGAGAGTCGCTCTTGCCCCTGACCATCTGTTTGGCTTGTTTTTTCTGGTTCCTTCTGACAGGCTGAGCTCTGCCTTCATTGAAACTCCCATTCCCCTGTTCACCCAGAGCCATGGAGTCTCTCTCAGCACTGGATCCGGTGGGAAAGGTAACGCTCCCCAATCCTGGGCCTCTGTTTTTTTCTGTCTTGAAAACAATCAAGCAGCTCTCTTCCTGACTTTAACATTCATGCTTGCTTCAGATCCATCTGGAAATTAAATGCTTTTATGTGAGGGAGGACTCCTTCCCACCCTCTGCCCTCTATGGCTTGCTAAGTGATTGAGCTGAGAAGTTCATAAGGAGAAAAATCGACCGAGGGGCTAGGCTACCTTGGGCATGCCATCCCTAACGTGAGGCATTTATTTTGTGTTTTCATATTTGTTTTATGGTTTGACAGCAATAATTTTTGCAACACAAAGCATTTAATTGGGCGAAAAGTACAACTTAATATTCACTTCTTGCTCCCTCCCCTCGGCAGTAAGTGAACACCGGATCGTATCCCACCGCCTCCCCACATTGAATCAATGGGTTTGTGCCAATGCGTGTAACACGATGTCCAGTGCAGAGTAGCTGCTCAGTCATCGCTCATTCTCCCCTCCCTCAAACCAGGCAGAAACAGCTTGGCTGGTAAATGTGGCATCTGCCTTCAACATTTGGTCTGTGAGACCTCACCTCACATTGAAATCTCCCAGTTCTGAACAAGCCCAGCATTTGGGAAGAAAAGAGAAGGTGATACTATGGATGCTCATGCATATAGGGCCTTGAAATCCTTATTTCCAGACAGCTCAGAGGGCTTTATGGAAGTGGCATTCCAGAGTCAACGTGGTTGGAAGGGGAGTGGCCCTGCAGCCGGATGCCCAGGGCCAGGTCTGCAGGTGCGCAACCCTGCCTGGGGGCTTGCTCTCAGAAGGGTCCTAGCTTGGCTGAATGCTCTGCTAATGCTGTTCTAAATTCTTAATAATTTGGATTAAGGGGTCTTGTGAGTTTTTCTGGCACCGGGCCCTGAGATTCTGTGCAGTCCTGTAAGCACCTCCTCCTCGCATACCAGCTCCCAGCAGTTTTCCTGTGCCCTGTCCCTCTCTGCATCCCCTGTACCTGTGGCTTTGTGACCCACATCTGCTGTTGCCGGCTCACCTGGCTCGCTCTCTCATCAGCCGTGCTTGATGTCGGTGCTTGGTCTGTCTTGTCCTGTGGTTACCAGTGGGAAGGGATGCAGAGGATGACTTTTGGGCTAAAAAAGTTCAAAATTCACTGTGTGGGTGGAGCCGGGAAGCCTCATAAATTATACCGGGTGAGAGTTTTGTGTGTCTTCTCCAACTTTTAGTTTTTCCTTTCAGCTAGTCCGGAAGCAGGAGGGTGGACTTGGGGCAGGGGATTCCTGTCATTTCTGAATTTCATAGCATCGCTTCCTCTCTTGGCCTGGGAGGAAGGGGAGGCTGATCGCAGCTGGGTGGCATTTATTTAGCTTGAGCTAAATATGGAATGAGGTAGATCCACCGTGGACGGGTTCCATTCCCAGACCCAAGGCCATCTGAGCATGTCAGAAGCCCCCAGGTAGCTCTGTCGTTTCTCTTTTGAGGAAGTCAGAGGAGAGAATAACTTTGAGGAATGGGCTTCCATGGATCCAAGTGTCTGCTGCGAGCTCAGTGGGGCTGCAGTGGGAACAGGGGCTAGGGCTCCCACTGAGTGTCAGGACAATGGCCTTGAGTGCCTTGGTAGGTTCTGCCTGATGTGGTGGTGAACTGTGGGTGTCAGAACAGGGAGCACCTTCCCTCTGAAAGCCCAAAGGCATCCAGTGACTTGTCCAGAGTCGCCCAGCTGTACCTCAGCCTGGGCCATGGAGCAGCAAAGCCAAGGCCTTTCTTCCATTGCTTCTGCTCCAGATGAAGGAAGCCCCACCCTAGTACAAAAAGCATTTGTTTCCAAGAGAGTTAGCCTGTTGTCCAACCAGCATGGTTTTTTTCCCTCTCAATAACAATTATACTTGAATTTCTGCCTGTGTGTTTCTCCAGATCTTACCAGGGCTCTGCAGGATATAACAGCAGCAAAACCAAGACAAAAAGGCCTCCCCAAGAATGTTCCAAGGAGAAAGGAGATTATAGCAAAAGACAAAACCAACGGAGCTCTGGAAGATGCACCATTAAAAGGTTTGGAAGACACAAAGCTGGTACAGGTGGTACTTAAAGAGGAAAGTGAATCTAAGTTTGAATCAGAAAGTAAAGAAGTAAGTCCCCTGACACAAGAAGGGGCTCCAGAGGATGTGCCAGACGGAGGGCAGATAAGCAAAAGCTTTGGGAAAGTATACAGGATGGTCAAGGAGAAAGTGAGAAGCCCCAAAGAGCCTGAGACCCCCACTGAGCTCTACACCAAAGAGCGGCACGTGGTGGTCACAGGGGATGCCAATTATGTGGACCCTAGGTTCTGTGTCTCCCCCGTCACAGCTAAAGGTGGGGTGGCTGTTTCCATCGCGGAAGACTCTGTGCTTTATGATGGCCAGTTGGAGCCCTCTCCTGAGTCACCTAAGCCCCCTTTAGAGAATGGGCAGGTGGGTCTGCTGGAGAAAGAAGATGGACAGCCAATTGACCAGCGGCCTACAGACAAGGAGATTGAGCCAGATGGCAAAGAGCTGGAAGTCCCTGAGGAGAAACATGAGGGTGAGGAGCAGGATGAGGGGTTTGGGAGACCCTGTCCGGTGGTCACACCCGGTGCAGAGGAACCGTCTATACCCCAGCCTCCAAAGCCTGTGGCTGATCAGGATGGAGCCGAGGGGCTTGGGACTAGGGGCAGAAGCCTGCCAGAAAAAGGCCCTCCCAGGGCTCTGGCCTATAAGACAGTAGAAGTGGTGGAATCTATCGAGAAGATTTCCACAGAGAGCATTCAGACATATGAAGAAACTGCTGTGATCGTGGAGACCATGATTGGAAAGACAAAGTCAGACAAGAAGAAATCAGGAGAGAAGAGCTCTTAAAATGCCCAGGCTTAATGGGAGAAAATGTCTTTGGGGCCACTGTAGGGGTAATGCTTTGATATTTTAGAGCAAATGATAAAAGGGTGAGGGTTTCTGTTTGGATTAGACCATAGTTGACCCATCTGGCATTGCCAATGAAGCCTTCATTAAAATGTTTTCTTTGCTTGCACATCCTTTGTCTAATTAATAGGGACCTTGGGAATGTAGGTGGGTCAGCTTCATGAGGACAAGGATGCTCTGTTGAATGGCCACCACACCATCCTCATTTAGGAAAGAGACATGCTCTTCATCCTGGTTCATAAGTCTCATTAGAGACTCAGATAGCATCTGAGTCTGGATGCTGGATTTTCTGGATTTCACACAGAAACATGCTGGTTGATGACATCGATTCATCTTCATTCCACTTCAAGCACAAATGCATGCTTATGTGGATGAGTGTTTTCCTAGAGATGAAATTATTAAAGGCATCTCTGTTAGCGTGGATTCCCCCAGAAGCTGATCCCAAAGCAGAGAATGTGAAGTTTCATTGGAATATGAATTTAGGATGCACAAATAGGACAGTGGAGAAGGCAGGGAAGAGAAGTGAACCAATAAGGTGCACGTTACCAAATCAGCTTACACCAGGGGCCACTGAGGAGCTCTGGGAGACGGCGTAGATCACGTGCCTCAGAGTCAGCCTCCCTGAGGGGTGAGGGAGCTGGGGTATTAATACAGTCAGTGGGAGGTGTGCTCTCTGGGGGCCAAGAAAGCTGTCAGGCAAAGATGTCTAGGTGCTGGCATTAGGAAGTCAGGTCTGGAAATACATGGAAGTACTAAGGGTCGAGGGGTCATAGGCAGGGTACCAATGTCATCTGCCACCATATGTGTACCAAATGTACTTGGTATGAGATTCTTAAAATTTTCTCACTCAGAGATTACAATCCCAGGTCAGGTTTCAAGAAGCAAAGTCAAGTGTCACTGTGTAAGTTCCTTGTTTAGAAATGAGTTAATTAGTCCAGCAAGCATTTATTGAACATGTACTATGTGCCTGACAGTGTGCTGTGCCATTAAGGGGCGATTTTTCAGACTTATCAGTGCTCTCAGTTAACATAATATAGCAGTGGCCATGTGAGTGTGCATGTTCTTGCGTGTGCACACACACACGCACACAGGTACTTACTGTGTCACATACTAAAACACAGAAATTACTCAAAACCAGAATCTTTACACAAATTTCTATGTTGCCCTCCAGTATCTATCTTTCTACTCACAGTCCAAAAATACGCCAATTTAAAAAATTCTCCTCCCTGTGTAGCTTCTCCAAAGTACATTAAGTGAACTGAGTAAATGTGTTTAAATGGGTTGTAGTATCGGCCTACAAAAAGCATCTGGTAAGACAACTACACATTATTAGAGGAAATTGACAGAGTCACAAATTACATTCTGTTATTTCTTGGTTACAAATAATTGAATACTAAATGGAGTCACCTTTCCTTTCTATTTAAAGCTTTAAACAATCTTGTTCCAAATTCATTTGAGGTTTGGATTTCAAGAAAGAATTAGGCTTTTGTTGTTTTTTCTAAAAGATGAATGGGAAACCCATTCCACTGAGTTTTGAAATATTTATAACTTAAAAGCTTAAGGGAGAATGATGGAAACCATTAGCTGGAGCCCAGGATGTACTGGGCTTTGCGCCTGCGTGTCTATTGTCCTTAGCTTTAACAGTCACTGCAGAGTCTTTCTTTTCCTCCTTGGGTCTTTTTATTTTCTGAACTATGTGTTCAGTTCATATTATTTTAAAAGGCAGGGGGTATTGCTTTGGAAAGAAAGGTCATTTTTATATTATGTTCAATCAGTCAAGAAAAATGGTTTGGGATCTGTTCTGTGCCAGGCATGGTCCTGGTCACTGCAAGACAACAAGGAAGAGTGGGATGTGGACATGGACCTGCTCTCACAGATGTGATAATTCTAGTGGGGGAGGAAGGAAATGCCATGCAAGCAGGTAGCGAAGAGAAAGTCAGAGACTGTACCACGAAGGGACTCAACTAGTGTGACCTGCTAGAATGACGGGGGGTCTTTGGATTGGGTGGTAAGGGAAGACCCTGTGAAGGGGTGACGTGGGACCTGAATGACAACACGGGGCATCACATACAGAGTGGAGAGTAAAGCATTTCAGGCAGAGAGAGCTGCAAGTGTAAAGGCCCTGGGGCAGAAGTGAACTTGGCCTATTCAAGGAGATGCAAAGGGGACTGCAGGGGGACAATGGAAGGAGGTGAGGTGAGGGTGGGAGGCAGGGACCAGGTAAGCACCATTTCCTGGCAGATGCACCTCAGCCTGAAGGTTGAGCCCGTGCTGTGAAATATGGGGCTGGCAGCAGTGCACACGTTGGGGCCTACTTGGGCTCTGGAGGTGCAAGGGTCCCAGGGATGTGACTCACTTGCTCATTTTCTTGACACTCTACTGTCCCAGTCTGGTTCTGTTTTCTCCTGTAGAGCTGCAGAATGGGTTCATTTCTGGGCTTTCTCTCTCTCCAGGGTCTCTGAAACACACACGAAATCTTTGGTTTCGTAAAGAATTTCTTGTTAGTAACGCGGAGTCAGAGCAGGCCTCCTGACAGCATCCACGGCAGGGTCTCCATTTCCTCTTCCCTGAGGCAGCTTCGGGTCTGTTGGGAGCAAGACTCTCTCAGAGCTGCCTGCTCCGTACAGCAGCTGCGTGGTAGCCCCTGTCCCACTCATCTTCCCAGCACTTGAGTCAGGGACCCATCACTGCTGTTGTATCCGCCACCCGGGGTGTCTCGCCAGATCCCCCAACTCTCCCTGTTCCGGTTCGTGCCTGCACTCAAGCTTCTCATGGCAGGCACATGTGACTCTGCTTTAGGGTTTCATGTGGCCACAGGCACATGCTTGGTCCATACACTGGGCGGATTGGTTGTCCTGGGGAGTTCATGCTCCCGGGAGCAGCCCTCAATCAAGGGTGGACAGGACCTGGAGGAGCAGGTCTCTCTCTCCCCAGCCCTCTCACTCCGCTGTTAGGGTAACTTTTAGGCATATTCTATGTAGTCTCTTGGAGCTCCCAAGTGAGTTTGAGCCTCAAATGCATATGAAGAAATGCACTTATCAGTGCCTCCGGTATTGGCCTCCTTTTCCTGTCTCACTTTCCTTCTCCTCAATGTATAGATGCTTCCTTTCACATAAATGACTTGCCCTTCACTCCTTGTCTCAGGGTTGTCTTCTGGGAGGACCCAACTTAAGACAGCAGATTAACATCTGCCACTCCCACCTCCCCGTCCCTCAGGCCACAGCCCTGATTTTGTATTGAGTAGCCGCTCCTCCCACACTGGATACAGCCCTAATGTATCAAGATCTTCTGCCTTCCTCTGGCCTCAGGGTGGGCCAGTGACCCAGACCAGCCCAATCAGATTCACCCTCAATGAAATTAGAAATCTGAGTCTAGTGTAGCCCAGGCTGCAAGTGCTGGCACTTGCCCCCTGGCGGGGGTGTTCTGGCAAGGTCACCTGCCAATCCTTGCTGTGTTTCTGGGTCCCCAGCCTTGTTCCAATCACTGTCTTTTTTTTCTGGGATGGTGTTGGCTGGTTCTTCAGGCCGGAGGGCTACGCCGCATGTTTCTGACATACTGCTTACTTGTTTCCATTAGTTAGAGTTGGTTTTCTTTGCTTGTAACCCCAAAGATCCCAAAGATAACTGCTAATTAATAAGGTTTGGTATCAACAGATAAGGAGGTTTGGATTAAGTTGGGTTGCCCCCAAAGCAGACCCTGAGAAAGGTCTTGGGTGCAGGCGGTTTGGTAGGGTGGTGTTGCAGGAAGGGTAGTAAGCTCCTGTCTCTTGCTTCAAACCTGCCCCTCTCTACCCAGTGGTGCTGGGGCTGGGACTCTGCAGTCAGGTCCTGCTTAGCCAGCTGCTCCCTGGGAGGTGCTGTTAGAGGGGAGCTGCGCGAAGACTGAAAGTCTTGAGGAGGGAAAAGGCACTCACTCCCTTTTGTTTGCTTTCTGCTCTTGTCCACACCACCCCAGCAATCCTTCTATGGTCTGAATGTTTATGTCCCCTGCAAATTCATATGTTGAAGCCCTTACCCCAAGGTGAAGGTATTAGGAAGTGGGGCCTTTGGGAGACTAGGTCATAGGGCAGAGCCCTCATGAACCAGATTAGTGCCCTTATGAAAGAGACCCCAGAGACCCCCTCATCCCTTCTAGCATGTGAGTTCAGAGTGAGGAGGTGCCATATATGAATGAGGAAGTGGGCCTTTGCCAGACACTGAACTTGTTGGCACCTTGATCTTGGATCTCCCAGCCTCCAGAACAGTGAGAAATAAATTTGTATTGTTTATAAGGTACCCAGTCTATGACATTCTGTTACAAACGGACTGAGACAGCTTCTTCACCCTGGTAGTGGTGCTTCCTTTCTGTAGCAGCAGCTGAATCCAGTTCTGCAGTTTCCCAGCATTTGCAGGACCAGCCTCATCGCAGTCTCTGCAGAGATACCTGCACTAGCCTGCTGATGCCCCTCCTTGGTCTGGCTCCCAGCACACTCCCACCTCTGAGACTTTCAAGTTGTATTAATTCCAACCTCTCCCCTTAGGTGGTAGCTAGCTGCTTCTTGAAGTTCTGCTGACAAGAAGTGACCCACTAGGCACTTGTATTCCATAACCAGCCCCATACCACCTGCTGGGCTTCTCCCTAAGGCCTGTAAGCGTTGGTTTTACGAGAAAATATCTGCATGGGTTTCTGTGAGAGAGTGCCAGTGGTCCCGAGGGAAACCTTGGCGTGAACCAGCTGCTGGGTGGTTTCTCTAGTCTTTTGCCCTCATGCACCTGCACCCAGGTCAGATGACTGATTTGTATATCGGGACCACTACAGACCTCCACCTGAGTTTCCTCTGGCTTCACTCTGCCAGGTCTAACTCACCATCTTTCAGGTCCTAACATGTGCACTTGTGCTCCACCTCCGGGCACTGTGGGTGGGTGAGGCAGGCTGGGGTGCCACGGATGCTTTAGGATCCTGCCTGGGCCAGGAAGGCATCTTCATTGTCTGAGCTCCCAGCTCCCACAAATGTTGGACTTTTTGGTCCATGTGATACTTGTGTTTGCTTTTTGAATTGACTAGGTAACAATTCATTAGACTAATTGTATGGTGCTTTGTATTAAATTCTCTCTGTTAAAACCACTGGTG